ATTATTATTATTTTTTTTTTTAATTAATTAATTTATTTTTTGACCGACAACACTATCCACATCAAAGCAAACTACTTCCGGTTCACATGTCAAAATCTACCCAATCACAGAAATGACGCGTACATCATAAACTAAAAGACGACATCATATTTCAGTGAATAATAACTTCGTATCTTGGGTGGGCCAGTGACCAAAACATCATGCAAGCCTGACTGGTATGGGGTTCCTGTGTTAAAAAAAGCGAAAAAGATTAGGATCTAGAGGATCAAACTTTCCACAGGACTCCCGCGTTAATACCTCATGTGCTTCAAGGCAGCCTTTTCAACTGTGCGTTGGTGTTCTGCCGTCCTCACGACCCATGGAGGAGGAAATCTAAGGAAGAAAAAGAATTGATAATGTATACTTAGAAGTTTGCTAAATAGATAGACCTCCAAAAAGCATTTCAACTGATGCTGGTAGCTGGAACAGTATGATATCTTAAACACCGAGACTTCACCGAGAAGTCAAACTTAGACCTACGTTTTTGTTTTGCCGTACCCAAGAAAATGCATGCCACATCCTTTAGGTTAGGCAGCCTAATCAGCCAACGGCTAGCCTCTAATTGATGTATTTGTTGGCCACTTGAGAATGGCCACAACTTATGCTTGATATGGAAGTACGGTTCCATATACTTTGAAATACTGCAACAATCTTTTACTTACCTGGCCCTATTTACCATATACATACTCTTATCTTTCAATTAGGGATTGTAAATTCCTCGGGGTCGGATGTCTACGGGTTAAATGGCGGTCCCGTCTCCCGGGAACGTAAAAGAACCGCTGAGAATGCAACAAAACCCTGACCGTGACCAGGTTGCATTATACATAAGCTACTGGTGAATGAGGTCTAAAAAAAGTGTATTACAACCAGTAACAATGGTACTGAATATGCGACGGTGCTGGAAATACAAAAAGCAGAAAGAAAGAAAGCAAGACCAGTACTCGATGGATGATGGCAAGACTACCGAGTGTTTTTGTGAATCCTATATTTTTAATGATCTGTTTTCGTTTTTGTGGCTTAAACATGGATTATCCCCTAAGCTCCAGGTAAAAAGGTATAGTTCGCTCCCTCTGACACATCCAGGATTGGACTCCAATGCGCGGGAGAAAATGTCCTGCAGCTAACTGAGTCATCTTCCAGTTCTGCACACAAAAAAGTCATTTGTGACCAATTAATTATGACGTCAAAAAGCCAATCAACTGTCCATGAGTGACCATAGTGCACAAATCATAAAAATATTTTTCTTGGCTCGTGAAAAAAACTCGTATAATAAGTAACTAAAAATCAAAGTAAAACGAAAGAAAACAATGAAACTAGAATTAGTGTCTACTGTCATTGCTTACTCTTTTTTCTGACGGGCCAAGTAAAATCACTATAATACAATAGTAGTATAGGGAATGGGGGTTCCAGCGCAATCTCAACACGGGCAAGACCCGTGTCAAAAATCCACCTACGGACGACCCCCACTCCAAGTGTGGTTG